AGAGAGAGAGAGAGAGAGAGAGAGAGAGAGAGAGAGAGAGAGCATACATTTCAAAAGTATAGATAAGCGACAGTTGGGTGGTTGACGGATACTCTGGTGTGACTTGCTCCTTCTTTCCTTTCAAACAACTATCGTTCTAATCTCGAAAGGGGGGGGGGGGTGTATACCACTCTCTAGACTTAACACTTGTGATCTATGGCAATTATATGATCTCTATACTTTGTGTCACATGAACCACAAAACTCTTACTAAAATGAAACTAAACAGCGCAAAAGTTGGTGTCTTATTGAAATTATTCTCATGGCCCATACTTTGTAAGCTCCCGTCTCGAATCGATGGTGCAAAAGCTACCATCTTGGCATAAAACGACCGAATTTGAACTGTTGTACGTTGTACTGTATTGTAATACGGGGTGCCCACTACGGCCGATCGACCGACTCATCGCCTGAAACAGAAAACAAACACGTTAGTTTTTGGGCCGATCGAGCCAGGGCGATCGGCCCGATCGGCCGATCCCAGCCTTAGTTGGCACCCCGTATAAAGCGCTCAGAGCCTGTGAACAAATGTCATTTGTTATTATTGTTATTATGAAGTTTTGAGCGTGTGAACTGTTAGTGTTACTGATCTCTTGCGTATTGTGATCACTTGTGTTCTGTGTGTGGATATCAGACAAACAATGAAGCAAGCGCTGTTTTATTGCATCAGTATCATGAGTTAAGGAAATTTAAAGCTGAAATCTAATGTTTGTCCTTCAATGCAGCAAGGTATTGTGTAAGAGAGCTTATGGGAAAGTCACTTTAGTTTTTTATTCCGTGAAGATAAGCTCACTGTCAAGAGACTGGGATCACCTAAAAAAATAAGAAAGAAAGAAAGAAAGACAGAAAGAAAGAAAGAAAGAAAGAAAGAAAGAAAGAAAGAAAGAAAGAAAGAAAGAAAGAAATAGAAGTAAAAATTAATGAATTAATGAATTAATTAATCAAGAACGGTTACCATGAAAGATGCACCTTCTTGTTTGTGTTTGTTACTCTCTTGTGACACCTCTAATCATCGGCACTTATATGACCTTATTGTGTTGCAGGTGCCGTAAAACTCTTACTAAAACTAAAAATATAAACTCTGACAAAGCAGACCCCTCCCCACCCCCTCACATACATAGTCGCACAGGTATACACACACACACACACACACACACACACACACACACACACACACACACACACACACACACACACACACACATACATACATACATATACACTCACACACACCTACACAATCCCCCAAACACACACACACACACATACACACACACACACACACACACACCTACACCACCCCCCCCCCCCACCCCCCAAACACACACACACACACTTACACACACACACACACACACACACACACACACACACACACTTACACCCACCTCTATGATGCCACACCACAGAATTCTACAAATAGAATTCTTTGTACCACACACACTATTCAAAACCGACACGCTTGCTCCTCATTGTTCAATAGAGCTGGGCAATAAGTCGTTTTAGCAAAATCCGGACAATGTGTTAGTGCACCTCTTCTGCAATTAAATATGTTATGAACCGCCTCGGCAAATGGATTAGAACCACTTCGACAAACAGGTTACGAACCACTTCAACTAATGGGTGCACCCACTTCGGCAAACGGAAAGAGATTTTAAGAGTATGAATTCGGATAACGTTTCATTGAGAATTATCCGGTTATCTGGATCAGTTTTCCGAATTTTCCCCACCACTTGCCTTTTCAAAAACCGACACGCTTGCTCCTCATTGCTCAATACACAGCGACCGACACGGCGGTCAGGTCGGGATCCGCTGGCCCATGGTAGAAACTAGTTAGTAACACACACACCGCCCTCCTTTCACCAGCTGCAGCCACTGTGACCAAGACGTGCGTGTGTCACCTTTCATTCAATCAAGCGGAGCGGTAACGTTCCCTCAGCTCTACAGGCAAACCAGAGAGCTTAGGCTTCGAACTACGCGAGTGTACAGTGTACAGACTCTCTGGGCAAACATCCCCCCCCCCCCCAGCCTGACCGGCCTCTTTACCTTTGTGAAAACGTGAAAAAGGCTGTGATCGTTGACTTGAGGTGAAGGTGCTTGCTTGCCTTTATGCGTGCTGGGTCAAGATCAAGAAAGGTAAGGGGTGGACATTTATTACTTGAAGAAAGGTAAGGGATGTTTGTTTTAGTAAGTGTTTTACTCACTGCACTTGCAACACAATAAGGCCATATAAGTGCCGAAGATTAGAGGTGTTACAAGAGAGTAACAAACAAACAAAAAAGAGGGAGGGGAGATAAAGACGATAGATGTTTGACAGGAAAGAAGAAGCAAACCACACCAGAGCACCCGCCAACCAACAACGGTAAGGGATGGATTATATTTACTTGAAGAAAGGTAAGGGGTGGAAATTTCCTTAAAGAATGGTTTTGAGGCTTTGGTGGATTATTTCGCTACTAGACCAGCATCAACTTCTAACTGCCTTTATAGAGTGGACTTCAGTCAATACCCAACTTTCTATCACTCCGGTAAAGTGCCAGAGCTGGCTGTAACTTAATCAGTTTCGCTGATCGATATTTATTAATGAAAGTCTATACGCCACATATCCAAGGAACAGTGAGATATATATATATAAATATATATATATATATATATATATATATATATATATATATAGAGAGAGAGAGAGAGAGAGAGAGAGAGAGAGAGAGAGAGAGAGAGAGAGAGATAATGTGTGTGTGTGTGTGTGAGTGTATGTGTGTGTGTGTGTGTGTGTGTGTGTGTGTGTGTGTGCGTGTGTGTGTGTGTGTGTGTATGTATGTGTGTAAGTATTTAACTTATATATTAATATATCATACTGAATCCAATATTAAATTACTGTTCTGGCTTTTCATGGATATCATGTATAGAGGGAAAACATGGAAGGCCCTACGATTCCGATAACACGATGTGTCAAGAAAGCAGCCATGTCGTCCGTTCTATTCCTTTTCATTTGAAATACCTGTGTGTATGCCCAGAATTGTCCTTGTAAGGATTGAAGAAAGAAAAGTACGGTATGGTTCAGAGAATGGTTATCCCGTTGATTAGCCTAGGTTTTGATCGAAGGTCGAAGAATGGGTTATAGTAGATGTGGTTATTTAGTCTTATACGGGGTGCCCACTACGGATGGGATCGGTCGACTCGATCGCCTCAAAAACAAACGTGTTTGTTTTCAGTTTCTGGCGATCGAGTCGGGCAATCGGCCCGATCCAGCCGTAGTGGGCACCCCGTGTAAGATAAAGCTGCTGCTTTTTCTTTCCTGATCCTTATTATTGTCATTTTCCTCTACCTCTTTTGTATGTTTGTCACTCTCTTGTGACCTGCTATTTTGGGGTGCCTTGATAGTCGAAGCAGACCTTGTGCTTTTTGAGCTAAGTCTGATTCCCTGTAAAGACTTCTCTGTTGACACCCACCCCTTGGCGCTCATCTTATGCAGTTGCGAGCGCCGTAAAACCCTCTACTATAATAATAATAATAATAATAATAATGATAATGATGATGATGATGATGATGATGATGATGATAATGATGATGATGATGATAATGATAATAATAATAATAATAATAATAATAATAATAATAATAATAATAATAATAATAATAATAATGATAGTAATAATAACCACTCGGCTACCGACGCCACAAGAATACCTTGCTCATAGAATGCCCGAACGTTAGGTTTGTATAATCATCCATTGAAATGGTAATGTCTGACTTGTATAAGATCATGCACTCTTTTTAAAAAGACGATTTGTGGGTGGTTGGCGGGTGCTTTGGTGTGGTTTGCTTCTTTCCTATCAAACATCTTTCATCCTTTTGTCTCCTCCTTCTTTTTTATGTTTGTTACTATCTTGTAACGCCTCAAATCTTCGGCATTTATATGACCTTATTGTGTTGCAAGTTCCGCAAAACTCTTACTAAAACTTTCTAAAAAGAGGATTTGATGTTATTCTTTTGTAT